TTAAAATGCTGTCATTATATAAACGACGTCAATTACTTGATCTTTGTTTTGTGCATAAACTATTTAATGGTCAAATAGATTGTGAACAAATCATTGATAAAGTGGGTCTCGCTGTTCTAAGTCGTCTACCAAGATATAAAATAAAAAAAATATTCCATATCCCGCATTGTAGAACTAATCTCGCTCTAAACTCCCCAATTTTACGCTTATGCAGAGAGTTTAATGCAATTAATAGTGATGTTATTCAAATAGATATTTTTAATGACACATATAACCGATTCAAACAAAAAACTACTGAATTTCAGTGATTTTTTTTGTGTATTGCAAGGATAAAAAGTTTCAATGTTGTATTTTTTCCAAATTCACATTTATTTATAATTTTTATTTTATACATGGCAACACATGTGCTATGTTGAGAGGATTGTCATTCGCTCTGGACCTTTTGGAAGGAAAAGTGTCGTTTTTATTTTGACTTTTAATTATTTTGTGAAATCTAGTTTAAAGTGGAATAGGATAGTGCTGTTGTACCTTAATCGAATATTAAAACGCGAAATTATACGAATCTCGAACTAAAATACCCGTATCGGCCCGGTTTAAGGAATCCCGAGTCAATCCAAGCACGCCGCTTCAAATTGCCTATCCTCTTTCTGGCGGCCATATTTACAGAAACATAATTAAACTTCATGTTTAGGCTGATGGATTTGCCAAAGCCTTAATAAATAAAAAAAAATAGAGAGGATTGTACTTTGCTTTTTTTTTTGTTTATTTCTGTTCCTTACTTGTTAGTCTGATGTCATAATTAAGAATGCTAAGTTTCCCTGTTACTAGGATATATACATTAACATAGATATTAAATTTTATATTGTATATGTTCTGTTGGGATACCAAAGAAATAAAATAAAATAAAAAATAAAAATAAAATAAAACTGTGAAGTTCAGAGGATGCTCTCCCAGCCCCCGCGGCGGATCTGTTGATAGGCTCCGCCACAACACCCTACATCCATGTGGACTCACCGTAAAGAGTCCTTTGGAGCGCCTACCGCACGGGCCTATCGCCCAAATTCGGTCGCGGAGGACAGGAACGACACACCGACACGTCTCTTACCCCGCAGCCCCGCCTCCACAGCATCTGCACCCTAAGCGGTGCAGCCCCGCCAGAGTGGCGGAGGATAGGACGAGTGGCAACGACACACCGACACGTCTCTTTCCCCGCGACACTCCTCCCCGCATGCGTCCACGCGGACCCGCTCGGCCTACATCAAGACGAGCCCGCGTGTCCTTCTCGGGCCAGCCTAGCTCCATCGGCAAGACCGTGAGTTCGTCTTAGCTTCACCGTGGGATGAAATCGACCACGGCTACACGGCTACACGCCTCTCCATAACAGTTGTAGTGCCACTCAGCTCTTTAAATCGCAAAGATCTGAGTCACACTGCCCCTGCGTCCATCACCCTGAGATATAAGTTAACAAGTTCCATGTGGCTGTAATTTTACCAGCACCCTTATCCTTCAAAACCGGAACACGGTAATGCTGACATTACTGCTTGGCGGCAGAAATGGATAAGGTGGCAGTACTTCCCTGGACGAACTGTTTCACAAGGAGCTCTACATGATACTTCAACATGAAACATATCACCTATAGCACACCATAATAATGGGTAAAGTAGCTGGGAAGCGGAAGGTTGGAAGAAAGAAAATGCTTGCTTGCCAAAATCGCAATCAATTTATTAACTCACTCACAAAGTACTTTACGTTAAGCAAAAACTCCCAATCTTTTAATACAGGATTAATCAAATTCTTCTAAATTAGTTCCAATTTTCACAATTCTGTTTTCCGCTGTCCGCTTTTACAGGCAACCGAATTTATTTCCCGGAATTGTATTTTTAGACATTTGTTTTATTCCAGCTAAATTAACCGGTCCTGTGTCCGCAAACATTTACCGATAGTAATTAGGTCGGCTTATGCATACTAAAACAAAACTCTGACATCTGATCAAAGCATCTGAATGAAGTGGCTCTACTTTTTTATTCTTTTGATTCTTCACAGATAGTCTTAGAGCATTTAACCAACCGGAGACGTCACGAGTTCTAATTTGTAAAACATAAAATCTGCCAGTTTTGAGAAGGACGAGACAAGCATACGAATAAAATGCTAATTACTAATGCATTCTCCGTCATGTCTGACTAGTGACTAGTGTGACTTTAAGCACACAGTATTTTTCGTATACAGGAACGTCATAATCAACAGTTTGACCGCCGCTCTCAAACCTTTGGCAGAGTGTCTCCATAAGGTTTAACGCTGTTGAGCCAGCGACAATAGTTATTAGTTGTGCAAGGCTGCAAAGTTGTTCTTTGACGCGAATGCTTGTATTGAAACCTGAGGAAGCGAAGGAAGCTAAGATTGAAAAAATATGCAAAAATAGCGAGGGGTTCAAAGCACGAGACGCAAAACAACTTTGCTGCCGATGTCATAACACATGTCATAACTTTTCACTTCATTAAAGCGAGGAAAATGGTAGATGAAAGAAAAACAGTTGAACTATAAAACATCAGTTTTTTTTTAAAGAAAACGTTTATCTTCGGATGCGTTCTGAATTTACACCTCAAAAATTTTTATTCTTACTTGTACTTTTATTTTGTGTGATTAAGTGATTATTAAAATTATTTTAGTTTTTCGCCGAATTAAAATAATTTAATATTATTAACTTAATATTTATTTAATATATAGAGGTTCCATAAAGTTATTATTACCATCTATATCATATACCTGTAATAACGAATGAATAAATGAATTGAATTGAATTGAACAATTAGTCATCGTTGTCAATTTAATGTCAACAATAATAAGAATAAAATATACGAACTTATTTATATTACATAAATAAGTAATGTAGGGCAAATCACGTAGCTGAACGTGTGACCTTTTTTTAACGAATGAAAAAATTTCCATCGTCAAGTTCAAATTTCAAAAACCTTTTCCACGCTAGCGTGCAAAAAACGCTTCTGTGCGCAGATTTGTAATGAGAAAAAAGCCTTTCCGAGCTAGTGAGGTGAAAAAAACATTTTCTTTTTGAAAATTTGAAGCGAGGAAACTTCAGTGATAATGGAAAATGCGCTTAAATATTCAATAAAAATTTTAAAAGG